TAAAATAGAGTCAATCGCCTTAAAGTCGCACTGGTTTATTGTGCTGTTCTCCAGTTAGCATCACGTGGACTCTTAGCTGTGCAAAGCACGGTTCCTTAAAAGGATGCTTTGATGACTAAAATCAGAGAGCTCCTCTTCTGTCACTTCCACAGAAAATGTTGATTCATGCTAGGAAAGGGACTGAGTCCCACAGGACACAGGCTGCTGGGAAGCTGCACTATATCACCTGCCCCGATCTTTGGGCTCTCGCCTTCTTCCTGATCAATTGTCACAGGATGAGTAAAACTCCCCTCCTTCCTCAAAAGTTTGCCTGAGAAAGAGCAAGACCAAGATTTCGTTATTGCCAAGGAAATCCCGCCAGACCCTGCTGCTCCCTCTTCCTTTTGTCCTTGTCTGTCCCTCTTGGTGAGGCTGTTCAGCTCACTGCAACAGCACAAAGCTAACTTAAGAAGAAAAACTGAAAATTAGGTGTTTTCTGGCACTTTGGTATTCCCCACAAGGACAAAGCTGAAAGCAGTCAGGAAACCAAGTCCTCTGCAAAGAAAGCAAGCGATGGGCAAGGGCTCTGCCAGATGAGTTCCCTGCTGCACACGTGGATGCATCCTGCTGGCCTGCCCGAGCTTACTCCTGCTGCCCTGGCAAACCCCGAGGGAGACACTAAGCCACTGCATCCCAGAGCACTGGACAAAGTCACCTTCACCAATCTTCTCAATTAATTGCTGGGAGAGCGAGGAAGAAACATTTATTCAGAAATACTGGAGATGTGTGCAAGGATAAAGAGAAAGCTCTCCAAGATCAGTCATCTGAAGTCAGTAATCAAGGCTTGAAAACTTCAGCGGTTTAAGATCTGATCCAACAAAACACCCAAGCACGCCCACACCAGAGAGACTGCGTCTGCACAAACAATAAATACCTCAAACATCAAATGTCTGCTCCTGGGAAAGATCTTGCCAGTTGTGTTCACTTCTCACACAGGAAGGCTCCAGCACCATTGCTAAAGCAGCAGCAGACAGAGGTGGGCAGTCACACAGGCTGAGCTACTGCAGAAGCCACCACGGATGTGATGTCTGGGAGATTCTCCCGTCTCCATTTCATCCTTTTGCTGGAAAATTACCCCCCACATACAATACTGCTTTGCTCCTCATGGAGCCAGTCAGCTCAGGACTGTCTTAGGGCAAAAGAGACAAGGCAAAACCAGTGAAAAAGCCATCAAAATGGCCAAATTAGAAGAGCATGGCACATATGGTGAGCAGCCCAGATCCAAGCCAAACTACCCACTCCTGCAGGTGTCCATAATGTGTCAGCATTGATGGTCAAGCACCATAACAAATAACAAGATTACCGAAAACACAAGGGGATAAACAGCTGCTACCATTACTGCTGAAAACACCTGCTGCTACCGCTTCCCTTGTCAGCTCCACTCCAGGCAGAGAAGGAACTGAACCAAAAAAAATGCACTTTGATCTCAGAACCAGAAAGCCCCTACTGAAAGTGCTTACGCTGGGGAACTACGGTCTGACCTCCACGATCTGACCTCCACCTCTTTCAAAGGGTCAGTGAAGCACCTCCCAGGCTGCGGCAGCGCCGGTGAGGCGGTCAGGCCACAGACACTCTGCTGGCAAACAGAGCACTGTGGAGGTTAGGTCGAGAGACGTTCTCCTCCCCCTCTACTCTGCCCTGGTGAGACCGCAGCTGGAATGTTGTGTTCAGTTCGGGGCCCTCAGTTCAAGAAGGACAGGGAACTGCTGGAGAGTCCAGCGTAGGGCTACAAAGATGATGGAGGGAGTGGAGCATCTCCCTTATGAGGAAAGGCTGAGGGAGCTGGGGCTCTTCAGTTTGCAGAAGAGGAGACTGAGGGGAGACCTCATTCATGTTTATAAATATATAAAGGGTGAGTGTCACGAGGATGGAGACAGCCTCTTCTCGGTGACAAACAATGATAAGACAAGGGGTAACGGACACAAACTGGAACACAGGAGGTTCCACTTAAATTTGAGAAGAAACTTCTTCTCAGTGAGGGTGACAGAGCACTGGACCAGGCTGCCCAGAGAGGTTGTGGAGTCTCCTTCTCTGCAGACATTCAAAACCCGCCTGGACGCCTTCCTGTGTAACCTCATCTGGGTGTTCCTGCTCCGGCAGGGGGATTGGACTGGATGAGCTTTGGAGGTCCCTTCCAATCCCTAACGGTCTGTGATTCTGTGAGGTTGAGCATGCAAGGATACAGATAAGCCGAGCCCCAATGGGAACGGACGCACCTCTAATGCAAGCATGGAAGCAGCAAGGAGGAGGAGGTGACAAGGCACAGGGAGGTGGGAGATTGGGTACAAATTGAGATGTGCCAAGAGCAGAATCTGTGGTGTTCAGCCCCTGACAAGTTAGTGCCTGAACTTAGCTGCTTTCTCAGCGAGCAATGGATATCAGCATCTCCCAGATTCATTCCAGTTTTGTTCGGTATCTCTCCTGGGACATAGGCTCCTCCAATGACTGCAGAAGTCAGGAGAACTTGCTTGGACAAGAGACCTCACACTACTCCCCCTAAGCCACTCTTAGGCCTCTCCGAACAAGCATGTGTCTCCTACAGCCTACCCCCAGCCAGTTTCTCCCCCTTGGCAGAGGCTGTGCTGAACTTTCTCCGTACACAGAAGTGGCTGCCAGCATCACTGCCAATCTCAAAGCTTGAAGCCACTCGGCCATTAGAGCCACTTCTGAGGAACTCAGAGCTTCCCTTCCACTCTCCTGCAAGAGCTCCTGCATCAAAGTTTCCCTTCCTCCTCCTCCATCACCAGCCCTGCAGGTGCCAGGCAGAGCCCTCTCTTCCCATCCCTGCATCTCTAAATTTGTCTGGTTGCTGAGCACGTCTATTCTCGGCAGCTAAAGGCAGGCGAGATGAGGGAAGCGAAGCGCACGCATCAGTCGTGTTGCGAACAACGGCAGTGCCAAGTTCTTCTCTGCTATAGCCAGCACAGACAGAGAATGCATCTGATGCGGTACTCCAAGCCAAGCAACGCAATTTGTGAAAGAAACCAGAAAAAAAAAGTTTTTCCCCCCGTACAAAATATCCAGGCAAGACTCAATTGTCTAGGGACACAGGGAGAAGCAGAAATTGCCACGATAACAGGAAAAAAACCCTACTTAATACAAAACTTGGGTCAACAAAGGGATCAAATCATAAGAGCAAGGTCAAGACAGAAAAGAAGGGCCATTTTGGGACACCAAGAACCCCAAGCTGGCCTAAGCTAAGAATTAACACGGTACAAAGAAAATTAGTCGCCCTGGTCCCCAAGCAAGTCCTGCTAAGCCCTGGGCAGGTCTGGGTAAGCCTGCAAAAGCTTTCCAGCTTTGGGCAGCAGCATCTGCGATACAGCTAATCCTCAGTTAGCCCAGGAGGATTGAGGGCTGACAGCAGGGCTTGTCTCCACACAGGGGAGGGGAGAGAGGGTGCTGTGCATATGTTATCCCCCCCCCCCAGCAAAGCAAAGAGAAAAGGCATCAAGGACAGGAACAAATTAATCACTTTTGAGAGACAAAATCATGGCCATCATCTGGACCGGGTTTCCAAAACAGGTAATGAGGACAGCAACCCAGGAGGGTGTTACTGAGTCAGGAAAGCCGGTTATATCCATCGCATCTTATCTCCCATATATTGAAAAATAAAAACAGACCCTCCCTCCTGGAAGACTTAATCCTCTCGAGAGGATTAGTTATCAGTCAGTGGGCTACCCCGGAGAGAACAATCCAGCATTTGCTGGGTGATAGTTGAGATCGTATCAGCAAGCGATCGTAGCGCTTGGAGAGGAAATAGAGGGGAGCACAGGCGCCTGAAGGTAGGAGAGCCTCTTCTGCTTTTAGCTTCCCTAGTAACGCACGGTGGCATTTCAGGCAAAGCAGCTCCCGTTTTCATGCCTTGTTAATCTCAGTGGTACAATCGGAGTGAAGCCAAGCCCAGCTCTGGTTGTCGCTTCTCTCAGCTCCCACTGACTGCAATTACAGGCAAATAAATGCCTTTGATTGACTTTGCAGCTCAGGTCTTAGGCACCTCAAATACAGCACCCAGGACTGGAAAACACTGTCCAACAGGCCAACCTGTCAGAGGCAAGGCACTTCTACAAAGCCATTTGGCAGTACCTCACACTCTGGCAACTGCCTCAACCCCTGCACTTGTCATTGTTTTTTTGCTGTCACCTTGTGGTGGCCAAGGACTCCTGCACCTGTACCCTCATACCTTGTTCTTGTCAGCTTGCAGGACTCTGTCAGCCTCACCCAACACAACTGAGAAAGAACAGGTTTCTGGTAAATAGACAAGACGCTGCTCTGCGGCACCCTCTTGGGAAATACCTAGCAAAAATAGTTTTTATATCGGCCTAAATCAGGGCAGGACGGCTGTGCAGGCCAGCTACACCCCAAACACTGCTTGCCTAAGTGCTACAGCTTTGCTCTGGAAGAGGAGTGCCCTCTGCTGCCATAACAACAGTCCTACACCAGGCGAGCTTTTTTCCCCCGTTTTCCTCTCCGCAATGAGCACATTGGAACCCAACCCGGGACAGATCACAACCCAAACAACAGGCAAGTGAATACAGTCCATTTAATGCAGTCAGACACAGAGGGACCACGACAGCGAAACAAAATAAGACTGAGGCATCTCAGGTGGGCAGGAATGAAATGACGGGCAGGAATGTAACGACAGGCAGGAAGATGTGCCAACTGGAACTGTAGGTGCCACATCTCTCCAACACACAGAGCTACCTCTTTTTCCGTGGCCAGAAGAATGAGGCTGGAGAGGGGTATGTGGAGCTGGAGGAACTGCCCTCAGCATGGTCAGCATTCTTTGCTTGAGAGAGTCCTTGAGAGCAGATCTTGGAGCACACTGCCCACCTGCAAGGAAAGGAGCAGCCACCCCAACTGCTCCACGCTGGAGAGAGGAACCTCAGTTCAGAGAACAGTTTCAGGGCCAAAGTCACAGACCAGGACAGCAGCCTCAGTGCAAGTCACCAGTCCAGCCTCTCCTGCCTGAAAAGCTAGGGAGCTCCACCAGCAAAGATGAGCTCCAGGGCAGCCTGAATGTCCCCTCCAGTGGCTTGCAGGGCCCGGAGACTCAGCTCATCATCACGTATGCCCATGTCTCGTAGCTGCTGAAGCTGTGGTTGCCACTGGCTCTACAAACAGGAAAAAGAAGCTAAAGGTAGGTGTGAGAGTTCAAGCAGAAACAAAATAGCCTTCTCCACAGCTCACTCTTCCACACTGGATTCTCCCACCTCTCTCTAGCTCACAAGTCCAATGCTAAGTGCACAAACAGATCTTGAAAGCTCACAGTCTTGCTGCAAACTCCCCAAATCCACCAGCCCACCCCTCCTGCTTCCACCCAGTTATTTTGCATCAGTACCATGCCTCCTCAATCACCACTCCTCCAGTGATCCTCTTTTCAGCCTAACATTCTGCCACAGGAGGCAGCTGAAAGAACCACCTCCACCCTACAACCCTCGATGTGATATGGGCTCCCGAAGAAAGAGGCTGAGACACCGACCTGCAGGCTGGGCTGCCCTGAGGCCTGCAGGGCATGCTGCAAGGCCTGGCTGAAGAGGTCATTGGTGATGGGTGTCCCTGACTGGACACTGGATGACATCGGGGAGGTCCCAGAGGAGTGACCCTAAGAGGAAATAGTTGTAAGTGGATCAGGAGAACACTTGAACCCATTATCCTGCCTCCCCAAGCCCACACAGAAGAGATCCCAGCCATAATAAATTAAAACAGCAAAGACTCCCAGACCAGAGCAGGGCCTGAATTCGGTCAAGCACTGGTTTTATGGCCCAGGAGGATCTCCCCAATTGCTGCGTTGCCATTGTACCTGGGTGCCAGGGGTGGGCGTGTGGGAGCTGCTCTCTGGGGTGCTCGCCAGTGCCAGCGCCGTCGCCAGCTCACTCTGAGTGATTGGCCGGGGTCCGGCAGCCCCAGCGTAGCCAAGGGAAGCTGGGCGGGAACCAGAAGTGCTGCTGGATGGTGTAGATCTTGTGCTCTGCATGGATGGGGAAAAAAGCCCCCAAAAAACAAAACACCTCTGTTGTTGGTGTCCATGTCCCGGTAAAATCTGGCTCATATGCTCGTCCCCAGGGATTTCCTTCCTACAATACTTGAAACTCACGCGTAGAACTTCTAAAAATGAATCATGAAAATCATATGTGCTTTTTTCCACAAACTCAGCTTTTACAAAGGCACAGAAACTGGCAATAAACCTTTTAATGTATCATCCATCAGCTAAAAAACAAGTGCTATTAGCCTACAGCAAAACAATTAACCACTGATAAGTACTTTTTTTGGTTCCCTATTTTCTCTTTAGAAAATACTTTGTCCTATGGAGAGAAAAACCTCCTTACATTACAGAAGGGCAGAGACCAACACTTCCAGGCTTCTCAGCCATGCTCCTTTGCGCACAACTCATGCTGTTCACAACACAGGAAGAGAAAACTTTTGGACTCTTTAAGGGCTACAAGTTAAACTCATACTGCAAGTCCAAAGCAGCCGTTCCACCCAACCTGGCTGCTTACCTGGTGGAAGTCATCTTCATCATCAGAGAGACCTTCAAACAGAAAGCCACCTGCAACAGAAAGGAAAATCAACAGAGTTTAGGTTCGGACAGAGGCCTCAGCACCAACAAGTTCCCATGCAGCAGGTCAGTGAGACAGGTCAGGCCCATCATTTGCACAAAAGAGAGGCCACAGCACTCTGCTACCAACAGACATTTAAACACGCAGAGTCGGGAGAGGCTACAAGGATGAAGTGGCTGCAAATCCTGCAGCACCTCAACTCTGCAGGCTCCCCACAGGTCTGTGCAGCTGAACGTACCTGGCATGTCCCGGTAGGAGCCAGAGGACATGCCTCGGGAGGATGGCTCTGGAGCTGGGAGCGGGGTGCTACCAGCCACCGAGTGCAGAACAAGGACAATGGCATTGACAAGAGCAGGGTGGGCTGGGATTAGCCTGGAGAGAAAGAGCGGAAAGTATGAATTGTGTCCACAGGGAAACTAAGAAACCACCCAGAAAGAAGCAGTCTATACAACAGCATGACAAAAGCATTGCTTCGTCACCGCACCAGCTTGCACGAACTTACGTGTCCAGCATGTTGGGGTCTGCAAACACTGAAAAGAGATCCTTGTCCTGTAGGACTCCTGGGAGGGACCAGGAAACACGATGAGTAAAACACAGGATACGAGAAACAGGAGCCGGTCAAACAAGAGCCATGGGAAAAAGCAAAAGAATTAATTGTTTTTCAGGAACTGAGTCACTAGCAGATGCCATAAATACTCTTATTTATTGTTGTCTCTGGAGCCTTTTACGTCTTCTTGAAGTCTTTTGATCCCAGCCACACACCCAAGGGATGGGGCTTTCCCAGTGGGTCCCAGGAGCTGTGCTCCAGCACAGCCAGCTCCACCTTAAGGGCGCGATCAAATCAGGCACCCAGCTCACTTCAGCCAGGTTGTGACTGCATCCCACATTCCAAACATGCCAAAAGGCTAGTAACTTCCCAGCCAGAACAAGCATCCAGCCCTAAACACTACCCATAGTGCACTACTCTGACACCTGAGCAGGCACTGACTCTTATGCTCCACAAAAGGGACCGAAAATGCACTTCCTCCAAAGAAGGGGAACTCTCCCTTTCCCGTGTCAGGAATTAAACACAGACTATCTTTATTTGCTTTCCTCCGAGCCTCTGGATCGCATCTAGGCTCACCCAAAGCAACGGGGTCGCTGCTGAGCCCAGGAGTAGCTACAATGATCTGATCCAGCGACTCCTTATTCCCCAGCATTTTGAAGACCTGCAGAGAAATCAGAGCAGATCAGAGGCGTCGCACAATGAGGCTCCACGTCGGGACGCCCTTCACAGAGAGAGGACAGACAAAAGACATCCAGATGGCAAAGTATGAAGCCCCACTCACTGCATCTCTGTAGGCCGGACTGCTGTGCAGGGCAGTGTGAAGGACCCGGAATTCCCGTACTGCTGCCACCTTATCCACAGGTTCTGAGGGAGGAAAACCAACAGAAGAAAACAGTTTTCCCTCTGTCAGCTTTACTACAGGCCACTGAGGCTTCCACATACAAAATATCCTCCTACACATACAAAAGGAGCTGTATTAAAGTAACAACTCTAAACCAACCCATCTTATTTCACAGACAGGCAGACCAGGAACACACACACAAGCCTGCTCAGCTCTAGAGCTGAGTAACCCGTCACTTTGTTCCTACTTCTCTGGCAACACCCTAAAATTGACTGCAGTCAATTAAGGATGGGATATTCGCTCACCACATGACGTAGCTCACTCCTTAACTCTCCCATCAGCAAGAAAATAAAATGCCCATTTGCTGCTGTTACAGGTGGAGAGTTCCCACAAAAGCACATTGATCAATTCCTCTCACAAACCCCCAAGACAATCACAAGAGAAGCTGTTCCTCAGTCACAAGGCACCCCCACCAAACGCACCCCAAGTCGATCTAAGTGATAACCCACACCACCTCCTTACCTGGTTTCTGATCAGGCTCAGGCCAGGACTTGCGCAGGACATGAACAGTGGACCCTGACTGGATACCATAAAAATCAAGTGTCTGGTCATCCCTCAGCTTACGACCGCAGTAGATCAAGTCTAGGAGAGAGGAACATCTAAAGACAAACATCTGCAGTGTGCTGGGAAAGGGCCTGAGGGCTTTAGGAACTGAGGACTGCCTGGGGGGGCATGGCTCTGCCTGTGTTAGCAGCACAGGGACTCAGTGACACAGGGAAATCCTGGAGCAGAGATTCACAGGACTTTGCCACCTCCTTTAGAAGGGCCAACTTCTCTCCCAGTTACTCTACGAGAGGTGACAAGGACACATTGGTGCTAGCAAGTCAGAAGAGTTCTTAACGAGGGCACCGACACCACAGGAGCCCTGTGATCCCAAACGCAGATCAAATCCAAATCGCAAGGAAGTAAGAGTACTAGAGCACAGCAGAGCCTCTGAAGCCACCTTTGAGCCCCCACACCACACTATCCGACTGTGCCAAGTCTCCCCACCAGTGCTAAGAGAAGGATGTTTGCATCCCGGTGAGGAGAGAAAAGAGTGGCCGGGACTTTGACACGGACCATGCAGGCACCTACCGATGAGCTCAGGGTCTGGGACAGACTCCTGCAGTTTGCCGGTGATGAGCTGCTTGAGGTAGGAGATGCTGCACCCACCCAGCGGGCATTCTCCCAGCTCTGTCTCTGGCAAACGTAAGATGGATTTGGGAGCCAGCGGCTGATCTGCCAGCTTCACTGCAATGTGCCACTCTGGCAGGGACATTTCAGCCTTTGTGCTGAGCAGAGCCTAGCCAAACTAAGACCCACAAAGCTCTGAAAAGGGAGAAAAACAAACCAAAGTGAGACTTGCCCCCCAAAAAACCAATAAAATTGTATAAATTCACGGGGTGAACTTTCGCTGGGAAGCACCAGGACACCTGACCATCGCACAGACATGTTTTTTTAGATTCCTAGCTCAGTCTTAAGCCATATCTGAAGCTACAGGGAAGCCAGAAACCCTCATGCCAGCCTCACCGTTCAGCCGAGACCAAGGACCTGCCCACGGTTCTCCTGGCAGGCAGCGCCCCTAGGCCGCTCTCCAGCCCCCGAAACCCCCATTTCCCAGCAAAGGGACAGCGGAGCAGAACAGG